GTGGGGTCTTTGGCTGTACGTGGAAGCTCCACCAAAGGACGATTCGTTTCCCTTCGTTCTGAGCGAGTCCTCGTCTGAACCTCTGAAGTCTGATCCAACTCGAGAGAAATGCGGATGCCCGGATCGGCAAAATCACGCAATCTTCCCATGGACGCATGGAGTGCAGAAATTGCGATGTCAGGCGAGGAGAGGCCTCGTACTGTGAGAACAGACATTGCGGTAATACGTCGGTCGTACGGCAAGATGCCGGAATCACGCTGGACAAAGACAGCCCCGTTTCGACAGCGAGAGAAGGCCCTTTCAAGTGACATTCATATGAGACCTCTGTAGGATGTCTGATGGGCTCCTGGATCATGTACTTGTCGTCTCCCTTGCACTCTGTTTCTCCTGTCAGTATCCGCTCAGCTCCTGCTTGCTGTCTCGCCTACTTGCCTAGACTGCTAGACCTCATGCGTCATCCATGGAGAGACATAATGAACGAGCAGGTCTGCATCAAGAGTTTTGTTGGTGGGAGAGGTGACGAGGCGAAGCCGCGCGCTGGAGGAAAGAACCCTCCAGCTCGAGCGGGAGATCAGCGCATTTGAGCAGCGACACAGGTGCGCGGGAAACCGTGGGGCTGTCTCGGGCTCGTAGTTCATACTGCTGAAGTTTCTACCGATTTAGCCCCGCAATGCAGGACAAGCAGACGGGAAGTTCAATGGTGACAACCTTACACTCACAAGCAAATCGAAGGAATGTGATATGCGAGTAATGTGTCTTTGGCTTTCAGGTCTGACGACGAGTCTGAGATGTTTGCGGAGGACCGGAACGATGCAGCTCGTAATCTGTTGCCGCATTGGTTTGCTTCCCACCCGCCCGCCCGCGCGCCGCCCAACTAGCCGGCCACCCGGCCACCGATGCGCACGCGCGCACGCACAAATGTCACAGCCACCATGTGCGCCCATTTCGCCGCCGGCATGGTATCAGTGACCGGAACCTGCTTTTGAAAGGTTTTCTTCATGGAACGCATTGGGGCCGCCCAAAACTTGCCTTTGGTTTGACGTTTGCCCAAGCTTTGCAGCCTTGGGAGCAGCTTGGGAGATGGACTTTGCTTGAGGAGCCGCTTCAGTGGGGAGGTGTGCCATGGCGCGCAGCAGCTCCTCAGCCGGCATGACAGGCTTTCGTTTGATGGATGTCCTCTGGCATTCAGCTGAGGCATCCTTCGTGACCGGTTCTCAGTGACACCAAGCGATGTCACTGGCACAAGAGATCTTGCCCGAAGTGCTGGAGACGCAAACAAGTGATCGTAGTAAAGACGACGCCCACCCCTGTAAGGACGCCTGGCCGCCCCTGCGCCTCCAGGGCCTCGACGGAGAGCTCCTCTGCTCCCCCGTGCCCCAGTTCCCCAGTGGGATTTCTCTTTTTGCAGAGGAGCACGAGCTTCTGCAAGTCGCCGGCAGGGCACTGGGCACCCGCCTCAGAGAGTGCCTCCAAAGGAGCAGACCTAGCAGAAGGTCCGGTGCCATCTCCACGGCTCCCAGAGGACGGGGTGCCAGGCTCAAGTACTTCGGCAATGGCGCTGACCGCCGTGGAGTGCCAGGAGAGCCAGAGGACTTTGATGCCGTGTGGGAGGCTGGATGCCTACGTTGCAAGTGCAGCGGTTCCTTTTCATTCTGATCGAGGCTTGGATCTGGGCCCAGACCAGTCCCCGCAGAGGCGAGGATGAAAGCGAACGGCAGGGTGTGGCAATGCCTGGAAGAGATTCTGAAACTGCGAAAAACGAAGTTCTAAGCACACCCTCCGAAGCAGCTTTCGACACCAAACCAGCCGTAGAAGACACTTGACAGCCAGAGCTGGAGCCAGAGCCAGGGTGCTGACTGGACTCCGATGACTCCTCCGTTGGGGCTCCGAGTTCAAAGCTGGTTGGGGGCACGGGGTGTCAGAGGCTGCTCCTTCATGTCAGTGGGCTGAGGCCGGCCCTCCAGCAAAGGTGCGCCCCATCAGACATGGAGGCTCGGAGAGCACATGACAACTTCCGCCTCGTTTTTATATCAGACGAGGCTTACACCTCAAGCTCGATCTTCTGATCTTCCTGCTATAGCTGTGCGCATGTGCGCATCCTGAGACGTTGTAGATGCTGCCGACAGGCTCTGCCGAGAGCTGCAGGCGTGGCTGGAAACAGCTTTCGAGCCGGTCAGCTTCGCACCATCAACCAATGGCCCAGTACTTTGCCACGTGCTTGTCGCATGGTTCCTTTTCAGGCACCGCAGTCGCAGCACCGAGCCGGGAGGACTGCAACCGTTGCCGTTGCAAGAGGACGTGCGATTTCACTAGTCGACTTCGTGGATGCCAGGACCAACCTCCATCGACACCGCCATCCGCAGTGTCCGCAGCTCATAAGTCTACCCATGCCAGATGGCAGGGCACACCACGGTAAGACAATGAACTTGCAAAGAGCCTGCAGCCAGCAGCAGGCAGATGCCTCCTGTGCCTGTGGAGCACGCTGTGCCAAGTGCCTCTGCGACGCAGGCCCACCCACACTACAGTTTGCAACTTAGGGCAATCAGGAGCACCGAGCTGATTTCGCTCCAGCCTCCTGCACATGCTGCGTACTTCTAAACGGATGCAGGCAGATGAACGTGTTTTTTTGGTAAGTAGTTCTTCGTGATGCCAAGCGTTTGTCTTCTGGCAGTCGTGCTATAATTCGTCAACTTCAAAGCTTTCCAACGTTGCCTTGTTCCGATGTTTTTCTGGTTTTTTGGACATCTGATGACTCAGTCAGTCTGCTTGCTGCAACAGGCCCCGCCAAAAGCTGCAGGCGCGGAATGTCAGACAGATTAGGTAGTCAGCAGTGGCACGAATTTTGGCCATTGCCGATGTGATTGCCGTGTTTTCAGGTGCCACTGTCGCAGCACGCAGCCGAGAGGACTGCACTGCAGTTCGTTGCAAGAGGGACTCACACGTCGACTTCATCGCCACAAGGACGAACCTCCTCCGGCACCGCCATCTACAGTGTCCACAACTCAAATCAACTCAACAGAACTCGGAAGTGCCTGGAACACTGAAGCCAACCAAGAGGGCAGGGCACACCAAGATAGCAGCACAGGTCCGAGTCCTAGCAAAGATGTATATAGTCAGCACCAGGCACTCGACTACAGCTGTGGAAAGCAGCGCGCCAGCTGACTCCGCGACGCAGGCCTGTTGCCGGTGACTTCATCTCTACCGAATCGACTGCAATACCTTTCCGGAAATCGTTCCATACGTTTCCATACCCTCGCGCTTGGCCTCACACTTTGCACGACAACAGATAAGGTAAACGGAGTATCGGCATGCCCAGTGTTGTCGTGGCGAGTCCTTCAGTCTTTGTCCCAACTCTGCAGGCCGTATGAACCTCAAGGTTAGTGCATGACTCTGTGACTGGCACTGTCTGCGTCTGAGGATTTTTGAATATTTTTGATATCTGCAGCAGGCCCAGCCCAAAGCCGCAGGCACCGGCTTCTCGCATGTGGCCACTCTGCGCCTCTGCTCGTTTTGGCCGTAATCAATCTGCTTGCCATGTTCTCAGGCGCCGCGGTCGCAGGACCTAGCCGGGAGGACTGCAACCGTGCACGTGCAAGTTCTCTGGTCGACTTCGTGGATGCCAGGACCAACCTCCACCGGCACCGCCACCCGCAGCGTCCGCAGCTCATAAGTCTACCCATGCCAGATGACAGGGCACGCCACGGTAAGACAATGAACTTGCAAAGAGCCTGCAGCCAGCAGCAGGCAGATGCCTCCTGTGCCTGTGGAGCACCCTGCGCCAAGTGCCTCTGCGACGCAGGCCCACCCACACTACAATTTACAACTTAGGACTTTTACGGTAATCAGGAGCACAGGGCTGATTTCGCTCCAGCCTCCTGCGCATGCTGCATACTGCGTACGTCTAAACGGATGCAGGCAGAGGAACGTGTGTTTTTTGGTAAGTAGTTCTTCGTGATGCCAAGCGTTTGTCTTCTGGCACTCGCGCTATAATTCGTCAAAGCTGTGCAACGTCGCTTTGTTCCAATGTTTTTTCCGGCGTTCACGAAAGTTGTCGTTTACCAATTCACCTAAAGCAGGATGAAAGTCTAGTATGTCTTTCGTTGTCAGTGCCGTGGATTTTCAGCTTCAAACGCCTTTCCGACAGCATCAGCAGGATGGAAGTTTTGTCGCAGTAGCATGTCTTTCGTTGGCGGAGGACTCGAAGGGCGACCAGACGCGTGTTACGCGGCCTGGCCACGGCGGGGAATTTCTACTCTGCAAACACTTATCACTTGTTTGTTCAGACGGAGGAATTTAAGACGTCCATGCCCCAAACCCACACGTCGTGGAGGAGTCTATGGCGCAGCAGTATTGACACAAATTAAAATCGTTTCTGGAACCTGCAAGATCGGCACTAGTTTCTAGCAGTTCCAAGGGCAATTAGCTGCATGGCGACTTTCGTGCAGGGTGACTTCAATAATACTGCCTTACTCTGTATGCATCTGCCTAAGCTGCACTACAGCCATAGCGAACCTTGCTGTTGCACATGCAGCTGCACGGTGCAGCTTCTTGCATCGCCCGTCTAGGGATGTCTAGGGTTGTGTGGGGTGTATTGGCCTTGTCGGGCCGACGCATACCAACCAGCTTGCGGCTTCTTTTGGAGGTTGAATTCACAGCAGCTGTCCGCATATAACGCATTAGCACAGGCAACGGGTTGCTGACAATATGTCCTTGAAGGCCATGAGCTGGTTGGCATGTGCCGACGCGAAAATGCCAGTACATCCAGAAACACTTTCAGTTGTACATACTTGTGTCAAGCATCCGCCACGCTCGAGTGATTCGATTGCGGTGCTGCAATCGATTCGCTTGACGAGTCGCCCCACACTTTGCCTGCTATGCTTCCCACCTTTAGCTTTCGTGGCACTCTTCTCAGTTGGACATATACTGACTCCGTCCATGTTGATGAATGCAACTGGCAACAGGCCCCGCCGAAAGCTGCAGGTACGGAATGTCAGACAGATTAGGTAGTCAGCCGTGGGACGAAATTTGGCCATTGCCGATGTGATTGCCGTGTTTTCAGGTGCCACTGTCGCAACACCCAGCCGAGAGGACTGCACTGCAGTTCGTTGCAAGAGGGACTCACGCGTCGACTTCATCGCCACAAGGACGAACCTCCTCCGGCACCGCCATCTACAGTGTCCACAACTCAAATCAACTCAACAGAACTCGGAAGTGCCTGGAACACTGAAGCCAACCAAGAGGGCAGGGCACACCAAGATAGCAGCACAGGTCCGGGTCCTAGCAAAGATGTATATAGTCAGCACCAGGCACTCGACTACAGCTGTGGAAAGCAGCGCGCCAGCTGACTCCGCGACGCAGGCCTGTTGCCGGTGACTTCATCTCTACCGAATCGACTGCAATACCTTTCCGGAAATCGTTCCATACGTTTCCATACCCTCGCGCTTGGCCTCACACTTTGCACGACAACAGATAATGTAAACGGAGTATCGGCATGCCCAGTGTTGTCGTGGCGAGTCCTTCAGTCTTTGTCCCAACTCTGCAGGCCGTATGAACCTCAAGGTTAGTGCATGACTCTGTGACTGGCACTGTCTGCGTCTGAGGATTTTTGAATATTTTTGATATCTGCAGCAGGCCCAGCCCAAAGCCGCAGGCACCGGCTTCTCGCATGTGGCCACTCTGCGCCTCTGCTCGTTTTGGCCGTAATCAATCTGCTTGCCATGTTCTCAGGCGCCGCGGTCGCAGGACCTAGCCGGGAGGACTGCAACCGTGCACGTGCAAGTTCTCTGGTCGACTTCGTGGATGCCAGGACCAACCTCCACCGGCACCGCCACCCGCAGCGTCCGCAGCTCATAAGTCTACCCATGCCAGATGACAGGGCACGCCACGGTAAGACAATGAACTTGCAAAGAGCCTGCAGCCAGCAGCAGGCAGATGCCTCCTGTGCCTGTGGAGCACCCTGCGCCAAGTGCCTCTGCGACGCAGGCCCACCCACACTACAATTTACAACTTAGGACTTTTACGGTAATCAGGAGCACAGGGCTGATTTCGCTCCAGCCTCCTGCACATGCTGCGTACTTCTAAACGGATGCAGGCAGAGGAACGTGTGTTTTTTGGTAAGTAGTTCTTCGTGATGCCAAGCGTTTGTCTTCTGGCAGTCGTGCTATAATTCGTCAACTTCAAAGCTGTCCAACGTTGCCTTGTTCCGATGTTTTCTGGTTTTTTGGATATCTGATGACTCAGTCAGTTTGCTTGCTGCAACAGGCCCCGCCAAAAGCTGCAGGCGCGGAATGTCAGACAGATTAGGTAGTCAGCCGTGGTACGAAATTTGGCCATTGCCGATGTGATTGCCGTGTTTTCAGGTGCCACTGTCGCAGCACGCAGCCGAGAGGACTGCACTGCAGTTCGTTGCAAGAGGAACTCACGCGTCGACTTCATCGCCAAAAGGACGAACCTCCTCCGGCACCGACATCTACAGTGTCCACAACTCAAATCAACTCAACAGAACTCGGAAGTGCCTGGAACGCTGAAGCCAACCAAGAGGGCAGGGCACACCAAGATAGCAGCACAGGTCCGAGTCCTAGCAAAGATGTATATAGTCAGCACCAGGCACTCGACTACAGCTGTGGAAAGCAGCGCGCCAGCTGACTCCGCGACGCAGGCCTGTTGCCGGTGACTTCATCTCTACCGAATCGACTGCAATACCTTTCCGGAAATCGTTCCATACGTTTCCATACCCTCGCGCTTGGCCTCACACTTTGCACGACAACAGATAAGGTAAACGGAGTATCGGCATGCCCAGTGTTGTCGTGGCGAGTCCTTCAGTCTTTGTCCCAACTCTGCAGGCCGTATGAACCTCAAGGTTAGTGCATGACTCTGTGACTGGCACTGTCTGCGTCTGAGGATTTTTGAATATTTTTGATATCTGCAGCAGGCCCAGCCCAAAGCCGCAGGCACCGGCTTCTCGCATGTGGCCACTCTGCGCCTCTGCTCGTTTTGGCCGTAATCAATCTGCTTGCCATGTTCTCAGGCGCCGCGGTCGCAGGACCTAGCCGGGAGGACTGCAACCGTGCACGTGCAAGTTCTCTGGTCGACTTCGTGGATGCCAGGACCAACCTCCACCGGCACCGCCACCCGCAGCGTCCGCAGCTCAAAAGCAGGAAAACATCCAGATACTAAGAAGCACATCAATCTTGCAACGAGCCAGGCATTCGCCTGCTGTTGCTGTGGAAAGCCGCAATGTGCCAACCCCGTCTGTGATGCAGGCCTGCTGACTACTGCTGGTTGCGAGATGTACCGCAATGATTGTGAGGGAGCTTTCTGTGCTTGACGTACAGATGACAAAGGTGAAAGACGCATAGTAACCACACGCTGCTCATTTGGTAGTGGTGTCGGAAGTAGTAAGTTCATCAGTGTGTCGTGCTGATGAAAATGTCATCTCCCTAAGCAGTCAATGAGTGGCCTACCCACTGACCATCTGACAGTTTGTCTTGAGTCTCTAGAGATGCTTTCACAAGCTCAAACATGTAGTTGCTGTGTTTGACTTTTGCTGCAGGCGACTCCGAGGACTGCAGGCACGGGTACAATGTCTGCTTCAATGGGCGAGATCTCAGCTTCGCCATCTACCTGACCCAGGCGCCACAGTGGAAGCACCGGGCCGAGAGGACCCCAACCTCATGGACTTCGATGGCTCCGGGACGCTGCTTAGCTGCTTGCTGCAAGGACCACCCTTCGACGGCAGCACCATCCACAGCGTCGGCAGCTGAGCACCTCCGTGCAGAGGTCAAGGTAGCATCGCTCCAGTTCGCACAAGGCTGTTGGCGACTGCACCGGTGGAAGGCAGTGCACAAAGCACCTCTGCAATGCAGGCCTTTCGAGACGTTGCTCCATGGTGTTACACCTGCAAGTATAGCTGCAGGGCTCAAGGGCTGCCAATGCAATGGCAAGCACAGCCCTGTCCCCCAGGGTCTACGCACGAAGTCGTTACGTTCAAGCTTGTCGGATTTACCCTTGGGCAAGCCTGCAGAGTTTGGTCCCGGCCGAGTCACTGGGCAGATGCAAAGCAAGCAAATCCTCACGCTCTGGCGATGCACAGGCTAGACGAGCACCCAGCGAGGGTGCGGAGCCGGAGTCTGCCGATGAGGCTGGAAGAGCCAAGTCTTCATGTCTGCGAGTGCTGGCGACAGCTCAGGGGCACTGGGGAGTCCCGATTGCGGCGTGGCAATGCAACGTTTCTGAGATGTGAAGTGTAGGACGTTGCCGATGACGCGCGGGTCAGCGAGGCTTCCTTGCAAGTGGGGCGTCCACAGTCAGGGTGCTGCTTCCTAGACTGTCCTGGGCTGGAGGCACGAAGCGCATCGGTTGAAGACGCGATCCAACAGGCCACACCGCAACAGCAACCGCCATATTATGATTGAACGTTGCATTTTCGGAGTTGGGGGTTTCGGTGAGCTTCGACTGAAGCGAAGCTCCTGCCGGCCAGGTAGACATCAGGAGCGGGGACAGCGCCACCGAGGTCCATGCATGCCATAGCATGCTGCACAGCCCCACCCAGAGCTTGCAGAAGATGCAGGGACAGGAATGTGGCTTTGGAGTCAAGCTGTGAGGGTTCAAAGAGGTGTACACTAAATCAGCACCGACTGACCTCGCTTATGACACGCCAGGACGGCCCCGATAGCCCGCGAGAAATAGAAGAGGCATTTGGCCCATGAATGTGGCACCAGCACGCACTCTGGACATCTCATGACCAGGCTCCGACGGCTCAGATCGCTGCCGCACAGGCACCGGGATCTCTAACAAATCTTAAGAGCCGAATCTACAAAAAGGAATCTTAATGGCAGCCTGCATCCCCGCGTCCCTCTACCTTTGAGTCAGATTGTGGCACAGTCTCTTGGAGAGTGGGTTCTAGGCAGCCACTTGCAACACTCCGCTGTTGCGAGGAGCAACGATGCGAACCACACCACAATTGCACACATCAGCAGTATGCCCGATGAACTGAGACAACGGGCTGCAGGATGTAGGCTAGGCCAGGCCAGGAAAAATGCAAACCAACAAACTAAAGCGAACCTGCGAAGTCAAAAGAAAGGCAGTTGAGGGCACCACAGAGTCCCTCAGGAGTGAGGGTTGGAGTTTGCAAGTCTTTTGATGATCTTTGCAGAGTACACAGTCCTGGCACTGTCCTGCCGAGGCAATTCCTAAGTGCCAAGTGCCCTTGTCATTGTCACATTGCTCACAACGCAGGGGGGACAGTGCACCTGCAACATGGCTCGCAACGCGGGAGCATGGTGCACCCGCATTAAAGCGATGTTATAGCCAGTGTATCTGAAGTTAAGACTCGCTGTTACCGGGTGAGGTGTCACGCTGTGGGTTCCAAAGTCAGTCAGTGGGCTCGACATCCCGCTGTGAAGGCAAGCATCAACTGTAGGTCCTGGTATGAAGTACAGGGATAGATACTGGTAGTACTAGGGAAAAACATTTCAAACTTGGAGCCCTGGTGAGAGGTCACCCTCGACCCGCGAGCTGGACCCACGAACCTCATCGTGGTTTGAAGACGGTTCGGGGCAGTTCGGTGCACAGGCTAGACGAGCACCCAGCGAGGGTGCGGAGCCGGAGTCTGCCGATGAGGCTGGAAGAGCCAAGTCTTCATGTCTGCGAGTGCTGGCGACAGCTCAGGGGCACTGGGGAGTCCCGATTGCGGCGTGGCAATGCAACGTTTCTGAGATGTGAAGTGTAGGACGTTGCCGATGACGCGCGGGTCAGCGAGGCTTCCTTGCAAGTGGGGCGTCCACAGTCAGGGTGCTGCTTCCTGGACTGTCCTGACCTGGAGGCACGAAGCGCATCGGTTGAAGACGCGATCCAACAGGCCACACCGCAACAGCAACCGCCATATTATGATTGAACGTTGCATTTTCGGAGTTGGGGGTTTCGGGGAGCTTCGACTGAAGCGAAGCTCCTGCCGGCCAGGTAGACATCAGGAGCGGGGACAGCGCCACCGAGGTCCATGCATGCAATAGCATGCTGCACAGCCCCACCCAGAGCTTGCAGAAGATGCAGGGACAGGAATGTGGCTTAAGAGTCAAGCTGTGAGGGTTCAAAGAGGTGTACACTAAATCAGCACCGACTGACCTCGCTTATGACACGCCAGGACGGCCCCGATAGCCCGCGAGAAATAGAAGAGGCATTTGGCTCATGAATGTGGCACCAGCATGCATTCTTGGACATCTCATGACCAGGCTCCGACGGCTCAGATCGCTGCCGCACAGGCACCGGGATCTCTAACAAATCTTAAGAGCCGAATCTACAAAAAGGAATCTTAATGGCAGCCTGCAGGTCAGGGCTTGTGGGATGAGATAGACAAGGAGTTGAGGTCATCGAATATGAAGCGAAGGGTTCCTGCGGTCGGAGAGCCTCGTGCAAGCAGAGTTCTTTCAATGTCTGACTCAACTAGGCGCTGGCTGTCCATGTTGACAAGCATCTGCTAGGCCTCATGTGGAGACGGGTGGGAATCGGACCGTTGGGACAGGCTGGACGCAGTGAGGGCGAGGAGTTGAACTCCGTCGATGAGGCCGGAACAACGTTTGCTTCATGTCGTCGGATGCTGTTGTGCCTTCTCAGTAGCACACCATTCGGCTGGGATAGAGGATGCGTCGGCCCAGCTAGCCCAACAAACACCCTCAGAACTTGTGCCTGCCGAAATATGATGATTTCGGATGTCAGTTTTGGGTGGCTTCGCGAGTGCCCATGTCTACAACTTGGCAAGCCAGGAAGAGATCGGAAGCGCTCTGCAGAGCGAGTCCGAAGAGGCCATTCTGAAGTTTGCAGAAACAGCCCAAGCAGAACCTGGCAATGTTTCGCCTTCCATATGCAGCCTCCTAAAGTGAAAACACCTCGTGGCTATGGCGCTTCTGCCGATCGGGAAACCTTGCAGTTGCGTCCCGGTACTTACCACAAGGTTTTGGGGGAGGAGAGGAGAGGAGATAAGTAAATGCTGCTGCGTCTCACGTGCAACCTTCCAGGAAACTCCTGAGGTATCCGGAAGAACGCAAGAAGAGACGCCGCACAAAGCTGCAGCATGGGCTGGGCCAACATCTGTAACTTAGGATGCTGCATCCTGGCACAGCGACTCGACTCTGAAGCTGGATTCAGCTTATCATCTGGATTTGTAAGGGCGGTCTCCCCCCAAAAGGAGCTTCGCAGGGGAGGGGGTGGAGGGGGTGGGGGGGGCGGCTACGCCGGAATGTCAGGAACAGCAAATCTGCGTCCTACAGTCACAGCTACAACGAGACCAAGTGGAGGTTTCTCACCAAACACTCCCGTTTTGTCCCCTGAACTGCGTGTTCCCCGCAGGATCTTCCAATCTTTGCGAGCGATGCAAGTGCTGCAAGTCCTCCGAGTGGAAGTGAGGATGCCCCGGCGGTTCAGGACGGGGATGTGCAGCCGTGCAGCCCTGGGTTGGCGCAAGAAGTCTGGCCTGGCTGTTGCGTGGCCCAGGTTCAGCGATCAATCAGCGGTGATCAAGAGGCTCCCATGCATGCAATCCACATATTCTTGTCGGTAACAACTGCTGGCGAAAGCCCCCCTAATTAGAGTTCCTGGCAGTGCCTTTCTGCAGTGATGTCCCCGTCCCCTTTTCCTGCATGCTTTGTTCGTACAAGGTTTTTTCTATGTCAAACGTGAGGCGCTTTCTTATTGCCGGTTACAGCTTTCGCTAGACATGATTTGCATCGATGTTGAAAGATGATTTTCCAAACAGGGCAATGCGAATGCGACCTGCCAATCTGCTGAAGTCACGAGAGTTTCGCAGCCGATGGTGCCAGCTAATCAGATTAAATGCAATGCGACACACCTGTGCCAAGCCCGTGATGCTGAATTTGCAGGCAGAGCCCTCGCAGCCAAGTGCATCAAGTCCAACAGAGCCACCGCAGCTCTGCAGGATTTTAAAGCATTGTGCTCGCAAAATGGGTTTCCGAACTGCGCATCAGCGGATCGGCTGATCGGGGGGTCGGTTCAGGGTTTGGGCGTTTAGGGGTTTAGCGTTTAGGGTTTAGGGTTGATTGGCTGATCGGCTGATGCACGGTTTTGGGCCCAAAAGCCACGCACACTGTTTCAAATATTCGCTTGGGCCGCTTGGAGCGAAGAGATCTGTTTCACCCGGTTACCCCTACCCGAGGCAAGCGGCGAGTGTTGGCGACAGGAATCTCAGTTGCATATGCTGTTCAAAAGGCGCAGGCGGAGGCGGGGGTTGAAATTGCCACGTCTGCATCAAGGCTGCAGGCAGCAATCCAAGCCCGCATCCAGGCCAGCTCGGCCAGCTTCGAGCTTGAGTAGAGGACGTGGCGCTTTGAAGCACTGTTCCGTGTGCAGGCAAGAAAGGACGTGGCGAGCGCACCGGTCCATCTCCTGTCTCCTACCGCCGCCTTAGCTCTGGTGCCCCAGCTCATTCCAACCAAGGACTTGCCGCAGGCGGAGCAAGCGGAGGAGCCGCCAATGCAGGCCGTGGTGGAGGTAGAAGAGGAAGAGGAGGAGGAGGAGGAGGGCATACTGGAGGTTCTGGAGGACCCCATCTTATCCCGTTGGTGGTGGTGGTGCTGCTGCTGCTTGCGCTTTGTAAACCTGTGTCAGTTCTGGATTCTGGTATCTCAATTTAGAATGGGAGGACTCTGATGGCCATGAGAGCTTTGATGGTAGTCAGGGGTCCGGTTGGTAACTGCTGGGTAGATGAGCAGTTCACTCCTGTCTTAAAGGGACAGGAAACTGTGCGACCATTGTACAGACATTGGCAGTGCGCATGATGGGGAGTCAAATCTGCTGAGGGCAGCGTGACCTCTTCGGTCCGCAAACCGACTCAGAATGCACAACAACGGTTGAACGAATCCTGGATCATCCTGGATCTGGCATAGTTGCTGGCTCAAGGCCATCAAGAATGTAGAAAACGTGCCACTTCGAGCTGGATTTTTGCTTATTTTGTAGCCTGCGACAAAAAGCTGGAAGCTCAGCCAGTATAGAAGCGGTTGCATCCGGGCGTCACAGCACTTTATCGATATGCGGAAGTGCATCAGGCACGCATCAGTGACATGGGAGTTTACTTCGTCTATATTAGTCTCGCCGACATATTCGGTGTGAACTTACTTGGTACTTACCCTACTGTAGGCTCATTTAGGCTCTTCCTTCGAAATGGTTAGCAGCAGGAGTTCAGTGCATTGCCATAGCGGATGAAAGCGGCAACAATGGCGACCACACGCACCAGCAACTGCTCAAGCAACATGTCACAGTTGCGGGGGTGGCGGCAGCAGCAGCAACAATGAGAACGAATAAAAATGAAAGGGTGTTCGGAGAAGAACATATGCATTAAGAAGAGCTCAATCGTCGTTACACAGGCAGAAATGAGAGCCGTGCAGTGGACGTCTGGACATGAAGTGGAGAAAAACAGTGCCAGGTGTGCAAATCTTGCTTTATAGTCTAACGGTTAGACTAACGATTGCTAATTCACTTTGGAGGGGTTGGCAGCAGATCTTGTTCTGAGGTCGCCATGGGTCAGGGCATCTGCAAATGCGAAGACGATGAGTCTTCTAAATCTGCCAACATTGATGTTACCTCCGCGACTTGGAATTCAGTGAGTGTGTCGAAGCATGAAAGCACGAGCTTCAGCAGCGATGAGCTCGTAAGGTCCCAGTGCTAGCCGACCAGGTCAAAGCCGCGAAGGCAACGCGCCTGGATTGGAGTGTAGACTGTCATCATTTTTTCGTCTCCTGTCTCCACTGGTTCTCTCCTGTCTCACTCGCATGATGCTGACCTTTTTCCTCAGCCTGCTCCAGCGCGGCGTGCGTGTGTGTGTGTGTGTATGTGTGACAAGTCGGTGGTCGGTGGACCTTCATCATCTGCTTTGCTTTGTCCAAGTCCCTTGCTGGCCGCCGCTCGCACTCCTCCAACGCATTCGGCTGCCGGCTAGCCCATCCATGGTCCACTTTCACTACAGCACGACAGATATTGTTCGCCCGTGGCGGACAACCGCCAGTCCGTGTATCAGCATTCGAATCCTTGTTGCATGCTAACCAGACGTCTGCGCAGATGCTCCCCTTCTCGAGATACACGCTTGTGCTTCACGCATCGCTCGTCGCGCCAAGGCTCAGTTCATGGGAGGTGTTCTCGATGGCCCCTGGTTTAGGAAAGGAGATAATGTCTTCTTGGGCAACATCAAGGCTGGAGCAGAATACTTCGAAGGCACCAGAGGTCACCAGAGGGCACTGGAACTGTCAGGAGGAGAAGATGAACTGGGTGCCTGGATTCAACCATGATCCATGCGAGCTGAAAGAGGCCGGGACACATGAGCCTGCGGTGTTGCCTGGAGCGCATCATACAGTTCCAGCTCTGTTGCAGGTGGATTCTTTCCGGGTAAGTATATTTCTCGAAGGCAAGACCCATAGTGGAGACGCTCGGCATCACTGCTGAGAAGTGATGCGGGAACAAGCACTACGTATTCTGGTGCCATGCAGGTGGTAATGATGGTGGCCTTCATGACTTGTCGTTGTCAGAATCATCAGCTTATTTGCGAGTAAAGTTGATTGTTGTTTCGCCGTCGTCGTCTCATGTTTGCTGCCTTGTACTGTTAGTATGCTCTTGGTACACTCCCTGCTGAGCCAAGGTGGTTTCCAAGAATGGAAACGAGACGATTATATGTTGGAGTGATGGAGAAGTTTGGTTCAAAGGCTAGTCTGGGGTTCGGCAACTGCAGTGGAACACTGCTGACTTTTAGAAGCCTTGCATGCGATGTGGTCTGTCATTGTCTGTTAAGCAGTTCGTCTTGCCGCATTAAGATCGGCTATCGCACGGGCAGCAGATTTGCACGATCTCACTAAACCTACGACAGCCGTTCCATCGCATTGATTCTGTTATTGTTGTCATTATCACGGAACTTGCCTGATTGTTTCCGATCACACTCTCAGTGCAAATTCGCAGCCACACGCCAACGGTCCGCGGCAGCTTCAAGAAATGTGTTCTTCTTTGCAACACTGAAGAGAGCCTGTAGACTAGCCAACATATACTTGAAAGACTTGCCGGTAGCCGTCGCAACCGTGTTGTTCGTCGTTTCACCATAAGGTGTAGCAGTGTAGCGTCACCAGTCCCATCATCCGCCTCTTGACTCGCCCTCCATGCTAGAAGCTTGGCGCCTTGATGGGAGTGTCAAAAAGCAAGTTCGAGCTTGTTGTGCTCACGTTCTGGCAACTCCTCTTCTGAAACATGCTCTGCAAACGACGGTGGAGTCGATCAAGCCGGGTTGTCCAGCACATTTCAGCTCGGTCATCGTGAATGTTGCCTGATGCAGCCGGTCTGCAAATTGTTCAGATGCCTTCGCAGCGGAATTAGCGATTCTGCAGATGCATCATACGAAGAGGTGCGGCCTTGTGCTGGAACCCAGGTTTCCGCTTCCGCGGATGAAGTGAGGGCACGTCGCGCAGCTGCAAGCTCGAATCTCAGGTTGAACTCTACAAAGGCTTTCAAAGTCTGGGGAAGCGTCCTCTCATCCCTTGCTTGTGTGTCTTATCGAAGTTATCCCACTGAGGTTCCCGGTTAGTACAGGCACACCAGCGAAGCATTGCCGCTACCCGCGGCACGCCTCGCCAACATCCTAGAGAACTTTTAAGGACGTCATGCCTTGTCATTGCATACAGCATCCTACCTGAACCTGTGTCCCTGAGGCAGCATTCTGAGTCCTCCAGAGCCCGCCCGCACGACTCAGCCAGCGCGAATCACGGAGCCTAATTCAAGGACAGGTCAACGTCGGGCTAGCAATAGCCAACATCGATATCATGATTGGCCTGAGCAAAACTTCAAGGTTTCAAACTCAAATCCAGCATAGCTCTGAGTCTGGTTTTCGTTTGATGATTTGGTGTGGAGTTTGGAGGCTCCAAAAATCTGAGAGCGGAACATAAGTCTGCTTACCATAGTAGGATGCTGCGATGGCAACCCAGGGCCCGAAATCACGAATCACAATATCCTTTTCAATGTTTTATAAAACAGTGTTTTATAACCACTAATAGTCACTAATATCCTTTTCAATTGACACTACTCAAGACCCGAACAGTCAAGAGGCAAGTCAGGCAAGGACCAAAATGCAACTACAAGTATCTGGCAGCAATTTTGCTTCCGAAAGCAGGGCTGGTAGTAGTAGCAGCAGGAGCAGCAGTAGTAGTAGTAGTAGCAGTGGTAGTAGTAGTAGTAGTAGTAGTAGTAGTAGTAGTAGTAGTAGTAGTAGTAGTAGTAGCAGTAGCAGTAGCAGTAGTCGTTGTTGTTGTAGTTGTACCAATAGAAGTAGAAGTAGTAGAAGTAGTAGCCGTAGTGGGTAGTATTTAGAAGTTGCGAGTAGTAGGTAGTAGTAGACAGTAGTAGCTTTAGTAGAGGTCGTGGGCCTGGTAGTTGTCGTGGTGGTGGCGGTGGTGGTAGTGCTCGTAGTAGTAGTCGTCGTCGTCGTAGTGGTAGTGGTAGTGGTAGTGGTGGTAGTAGTAGTCGTCGTCGTCGTAGTAGTAGTAGTAGTATACAGTATGGGGAAGGGAAGGAGGAGAAGAGGAGCGGGGGGAGGAGGAGGGGCAGGAAAAAAAGTAGTAGCCATAGCCGCCACCGTAGTAGCAGCATTACCTTGACAACCCTGGCTATGCCGAATAACTATATATTTCAGAATTAATGGTTATACGCTAAAAACCCAATAAAAACGCACAATTGCGGATAATGGCTTTTGGAAGGTTTTACAGGGTTTTGGAAGGGTTCTGCCTGAATCTATATAGAGATTTATAATCTCAGCTATCGGAAGTATAATATCAGGTGGTGACGAATTGGCCGTGAAGGCGGCACCGATGAGATCGCTCGTTCCCAGCTGCTATTTTGATCGAAGCTGGGTGTTGGCCGCATTTGCCGTGGCTTTCCCCAGTGGTGCGCCCCCGCCCCTTGCACTTGCTGTGCTGTGCAGTTTCATTGAGTGCAAGCTTGGCATGCTGATTTATGCTAGGTGTCCTTGCTCAAGTCCAGTTTATAAAGCATAGGAGTCATGGCAGCTGCTGTGCTGTCGGAGTGTTCTCCTCGTGGACTGGAGCTAGCTCACAAAGCAGGACTTCAGATCATGCCATGGGATCCTATAGCAGCCATCATTATCGAAACTCATTACTGCAGCTCGTTGCCTTCAGGACTCATGGAGCTTGATGATCAGTTCTGGAACGCTTCAGTTGAAGCTTTGTATCCAGACCCCCAGGACAGGAGTGCTGTAACGAGAGAATTTAGATGATCTCATTCGTGCAACATAAACAATTGTGCAGGAGATTCCTTCGGCTGATGATGTGCTGATGTCTGTGATGCTGAACATCAAACACGATGGCATCTGTGCACACTTCTTGGATTTATTCACCAATGGGGGAGGCTGGAACCCCCAAAAATCTGCAGTCTACATGCTTCATGTCCTGCGGCTACATCAGATTACCCTACAGTGCCGTGCAGGAATGCTCGTGATCAAAGGCTTCCTTCGCTCCGGCGACTGAGATCGGTGAGCTCGCAAGCTAGGGCATGGGTTTCAGCAGGGATACTACAGTTGGCACGAAAACTCGGATGACTGTGGAAACCTGCTGTGTTGCAGACTGCAACAGGGGAGAGCGAAGAAGAAAGATCGTGCGATTGCCCTCACTAAAACTCCGAGCCGTCGAGCTTGTTTTCCTCTGATGCACATACAGCCTTCAGCTTCGCAGGTCGGCACATGGGAGTGCCACCTTCCGGTGGCCTTTTGATCTTGATCTTCCGAAGGTCGGCCTGACATGATGTTTATAGTTATATACGAGAATACAGTGTAAATGATGCAGGAACATCACTGTCTTTGTCCTCGCGGCCCTCTGTGTTGGCATCATATATGCGAGTGGGCATCGATCTCAATTGCATATATCATTCTTGTATAATAGTATCTTCAGTAATCAACTTGGCCCCAGGTCCCTGGGTGGAGATCTTTCTTTGAAAGGAGGCGGGCAGCTTGTTTCTTTGGCTCAGGTCATTTGTGAATCACTGTGTACCGCACTAGGAGTGGAGATCCTCCAGATCTGTTGGGGCCCCGGTCTTGGCTTTAGTCCTGCTGGCAAGATTGGTGCACTCACGAGTTGGCTTGGGCAACCCCTGTATTGCAGGATTTTGGGCTGCAGGTTCTCTAGTGCAGAGGTATTCCTTTAATCATGGCTGAAGCGCCGGCGAATGAACCCGAAAGGCCTCCTCGTTCCAATGGCCTTCGTGTGAGAAGGGCAAGGTCAGCTCTGTGGCCTGAGAAAGGGGCTTTGTGCAGGGCTCTGGAGGAGAGTCGGGATGTTAGGGCTGTTTTCCGGGCCAACAAAAATCATTTGCTGGCATGGCCAAAGCCAGACCTGGTTGGTGTGGCTTCTCTCAGGGCTATGGCTTTGAATGTTACGGTGCTGAAAGTTTCCCTGGAAGTATGGGCAGCGACGAGCCCCATCTGCAAAAGCATGTCGGTGGACTGGCTGAAGGAGGAGGCTACTGGGCTTATTGGATCCGATCGAACCAGATAAACCTTAGATCTATATCTAATATCATCCGAACCCTACAAACTATATATGAAACCTTAAACCTGGAACCCTATACCCACAAACGAGGGAAAGTGCACTGATTGGGGGAGATGCATCAATGCTATACTATATGTAGATTTGTACTGCATAATATATATTATATGGATTGAGTTATGTTGCTGGGAAGTCTAGAGAGAACAGCCCTGTATTTAAATAGTATATACGATCATTCATCATTTGGTGTTCGCTCAGGTCACCCAGGTGCACCTGCTCCTGAACCCTGGGGTATCGAAGCAAGCTGTCGGAATCTACGTAGATTCCTGGGGCATTAAGCGCCTCTCGACTTTGGCAATGCGCCGATGGAAGGCACCGATTGCTACTTTGCGAGTGTCTAGACTATACTATACATGTCATGACAGGCTGTTCTATGCTGAGCTTCTCTCCAGTGTTGCTCATGTAGATATGCATTCAACTAAGGATCGGTCTCTTCGTATCCTCTTCTATATCATGACGGAAGCTTGGGGAGAGTATGCTCCTGAAGTCGGCCTCCCGCCTGGTGATGGCTATGATGATGGGGATGATGATGATGATGCAAACGATGCTGGTGGAGTTGGTGCTATCCTCGAGGGTGCAGATGAAGAGGCTCCAGGGGCCAGTGACAGCATGGATCCAGATGGAGAGCCTCTTGAAGATGCCGAGGCTCTAGATTCATCAATGGCTCCAGAAGCCAGTGATGTCTTGGAGGTTGCAGATGCAGTGGCTCCAGAAGCCAGTGATGTCCTCGAGGTTGCAGATGCAGTGGCTCCAGAAGCCAGTGATGTCCTCGAGGTTGCAGATGCAGTGGCGCCAGAAGCCAGTGGTTCCGCCGAGGTGGCAGATGCAGTGGCTCCAGAAGCCAGTGGTTCCGCCGAGGTTTCGGTTGCCTTGGATGATGAGCTTCAGTCGATGCAGGAACAGCTGCAAGCCCTAGAGAACCTAGGTAGCACATTATATCGGCCATATGCAGGTTGTTGCAGCTGCATGGCTGTCATCAGTTTGCAAACTTAAGGATCGAACTGGCACGTCGTCGCAACCGTCGCATGATTGGCTTCTTGATGGCATTGGTCAGAACACTCTGCCGCACTATACGCATGCAGTATGTAACAGAGAGTACACAGCAGAGGCGATCCGACTATGGCCGACACCTGTCCCTTTGACATCAATTCCATTGTGCCCTTCACAGATGATTGCATCGACATCAGTGATGACGAGAATGGGGATATGAAGGACCTGAAACTTTAAGAGATAACCTATATATCATTAGACCCCAGAAACCTGGCAGGAGCCACGGGCAGAGCTTCTTCAAGCCGAGCCCGAAACTCCTGCTCGCGAGCCTCTTCAAGCGGAGCCCGAAACTCCTGCTGGCGAAGACCCCTCTTCCAAGTGCAGCCCAGCTTCTCGTGTCCCAGGTGACACCTCGGAGCAGCAGCAGCAGCAGCAGGCTGAGGACGAAGCACCTCAGGGGGAAGCGGATGCAAAGGAGTTTGATGTAGCAGACTTCGAGGCGGTTTGGCTGTGAAATATCATTTCGAGCCGTTTAAACCTAAATCCAAACCCCTATATAGACCTATATTGTACAAGGCCCAAAACCCAAACTTGTTTAAAGAGTTCAGCTCCCCTGAGGGCAAGCCGTGCCGCTTCGAGCAGGTGCAGGCGGTTCGAGGCACAGGATGTGACGAGGAGGAGGCGGCTGCGGGCAAACGTGGTAGAGGAAGGGGTGGACGTGGCCGTGCAGGTCGGGGACGTGGCGGTAAAGGTGCGGGCCGTGGCCGTGGCCGCGGCCGCGGCCGTGGTGGTGCGGGGTGCAAGGCTGTGGAGTCGACACCGTCGCCGAAAGCGAAAGCTACCAAGAAGTCTCAAAAGGAGGCGGAGGCTGCTGGCGACTTCGAGACCCCTGAGAAAGCCGTGAATCCCAAGAAAGCCCAGTGCAAGACCAAAGGCAGGCGGCAGGAGGATGAGCACCCAACCCCAGAAAAGCCACCTGCAAGCAAGCCGAAGACATCCCCGAAAGGCAAGGCAGCGAGCAAGCAGAAATCGCGAAAGGCAGCCGGGAAACCTAAAGCAAAGGCATCACCGAAATCCAAAGCAGCTTCCAAGCCCACATCGCCGAAGGCCAAGCCAGCCCCAAGCAAGCCCCATGCTAGCGATGCCAAGCCACTGAAGCGCAAGCGCCATTCTGAGGATGAGAAGAGCTTCGCCCGCCGTGCCAGGCCGAAGACGGAGTGGAGCCTCAACCATTGGTTGGCGATTCGGGATGCTTTCAGATCGGATTTGTCCGCGACGTTCTCCAGTGTACAGCAGGACATATTGCTCGGGGAATGCAGTGCTAAGATCCCGGCTAGATAAACGCCAAACCCAGATCCCGAAACAAGGCCCAAACTTAACATTGACATTAAGTAATCGATCCCCTAGATAATTCTAAAAACACAAACCCCAAACCCCAAATCCAGATCCCTAATTAAACAAGGCCCAACCAAACTTAGCTTAGCAGTGCTATATTAACAACGATCCCCTAGAGAAGTCTAAAAACCCCAAACCCCAAACCCAGATCCCTAAAGAAAGGCCCAAACTTGATGCAGTGCTATAATATAATACAATGTAAGATCACCTATCGTTAAACCTAACCCAATCCCCAAACCCATATCCCGAAACAAAGCCCAAACCTAACTTCAACCCTTATCGTCTTTGCAGGATGATTTCTGGGCTGCGACGAAGTCCAAGTTGCCCGCCCGGGGCAGCTACGAGGAGTGCCTCCAGGTCGCGAAGAAGGCTGCCCGTGAGTTCCTGGTGCAGACACCAGTGTCTGCTGGGGGGAAGCAGTAGCCGAACGGTTATGATCTGCTGAGTTTGCCAAATTTCAGATCCGTGCTCACATGCCACATCCTGCAGCGACGTTTGATTTTAAGCTCGGGCGGCACTGTGTGGGGGAAGCTGTTGCAAGCTGGGGACTACATCGATCTAGATCGTCATGGATGCAGCAGCTCAAAAAAGACTAGATGCATCGATCTCTGCTGCATCACGTGCACATGCAGGCATGCAGTGACAAGCTTCATGCGAACGCCATACTTTGATCAATGCTTGAGAAATAAACCCTGAAGCCGAGGCTGGACCATGAAACGAGGGCAAGCCTTTCTTGCCCGCCGTGGACAAGTGCCCGAAGCCTCAGATGAAGGCCAGATTCGAAGCTGGATGTGATATAGTGAATTGCAGTCTGATCACAGGTCGTACACGGATGTTTGCAATTTGATCTGACACTTTCCACATGCTGCAGTCTGGTTTGTGACAGCGACGAGAATTCCAGCGATACATGGCTTCATCTCAAGCTTCTGCAGACACATGGCAAACACACACATGCACACGCACGCAATGCAGGCATGCATGCATGAAACATTCTTGGCACGGGTTGGATAAGTGCCGTGGTTTACAGATACTTCGAGTCGAGCCGACTCAAGCGCCATGATTGATGAAGCCGGTTTTGAGTCCTGCATTCGCAAACTGATGGCACTCAAAGCCCCGAAAGACACTTGACCGCAAGTGTATAGCCAAGGCCCATGTTGTGCTTTGCAGCCTCGGCCCGCCAATGCCCATCCATCCCAGGTTTTCCTGGCTGTGGTGATGCTGGTGTACTGGCTAAACCCCAAGCCAGAGTTTTGTGACTTTACCTACGATGTCATCGAGCTGTATGCTGGCAAGGCCAGGGTTACTAGAATGGCCCGGGCAGCAGGATACACGGCCGTCGCTGCAGACAAAGACTACGACCCTGAGGGGAGATCCTCACTTCATCTGAATCAGCCGAGTGGCTTCTCGATTCTAGGCTAAAGCATGAGCTGCCCTGTCGTGTTTCCATGACATATAGCTATCGGGACCCAAAAACAATATACTAGCTAGCTGGCCTGTTCTTTTTATTGGGGGAATTGGAGAGATTCAGCATGCATGGGCATGAGCCGGGTTAGGGTGGTTTGGGGAGGGGGAGCGGGTTTCCATGAGGTCACGCAATCACTTCCAGAATTCGCCCCTCTGTGGGGGAAGGAGAAATTTGCCTATAGGCGGGATTTGGGTGTGGGGGGGAGGTAGGTTCGCGAAAAGAGAGAGAGAGAGAGAGAGAGAGAGAGAGAGAGAGAGAGAGAGAGAGAGAGAGAGAGAGAGAGAGAGAGAGAGAGAGAGAGAGAGAGAGAGAGAGAGAGAGAGAGAGAGAGAGAGAGAGAGAGAGAGAGAGAGAGAGAGAGAGGAGAGAGAGAGAGAGAGAGAGAGAGAGAGAGAGAGAGACGGAGAGAGAGAGAGAGAAAGAGAGAGAGAGAGAGAGAGGCACGAGAGAGAGAAAGAGAGAGAGCCAGAGCCTACCCTTTATCCAGGACCCAACACTCACAAAGCATGAACTCTACGTACAATATCCCTGATCCCTTGATATGGCTCGGTTATACTTGAACACCAACCTCGGGAACCCAGGGCCTTTTATTGCAATGGGTAGCATGGGTTAATCTTATAATGCATGGCTCGCAAAGACAAATCAGCAAAGTATTGCAATGTTTTCAAGCCCAAAAGTCTATCGGCTTCTGCAAAATGAAACTCCTATGTACACCCATTATAAGCCACAACCCTATAATGCCCTAACGCCCTAAGCCTGCAACAAATCCAACCCAGGCTTGCCGTCCTCATGATCCTCTCCGGCTCAGCTCGTGGAGCGCTTGCCATCCTGGGAATCGAGTGTTCGACGTTCGTGTCTATGAACCAAGGCACTAGTAAGCGAAGTGAGTTGTTTCCGTGGGGAGACAGCAATGTGGATTCGGTCCATGATGCAAACGAAGCCACTTCGAGGATTGCAATCTTAAGATGTGCATGCTCTAGGCTATAGCTCAGCTACAATATATGTAGTGTAAATCAAGACAATAATGTTCAAGCCTGCATCACAGGACCTCTCTACTTCTACTTTTGCTGGTGGTTCTTGGCCACCACTTCATCGTGGAGAACCCGGGGAGCTCCGTTCTGGGATGGTATCCACGGTTTTCCTGGGTGTCACAAGTGCTTCAGGATCACGGGGTCCCTGCAACTGGTCTGTACATGAATTGGATTGTGTGCAGTGCACTTTACTTGTCTAGAGTCTAGACATGTCTATGGCCTTTCAGGTCTATCTTCAGAAGTTCTACATGAAGCACTGGGGTCATGCCAATCCGAAAAAATCCTTGACGTGGTCTACAACACCCTACATCAAATCCTTTGACATGGGAAACCTCGTTGGAGAACAGCGACGTGCCACCGTCAAAACCACCAAGGTGTACATAGATCGTTCGGGGAGGAAGAAGTTTCAGGGTAATGAAAACCTCAGGGCTACTGCGACTCTTGACTTCGTTTAATATTATATAAATAGTATACCTGGATAAAAGGTCTTGGTTAAAGCCAGCACTATGATACATGCAGTCGTACTCTGCTGAGGACATACCCACCTGGCTTTGCCCGAAGGATCATCGAGATGATTGAGCCAACCCGTGCTCTTCAAGGATTGTCGGTGCAGGCCACACATGAATCCGAGATCCCAGTTCGTGCCAAGTTAGTACACAGACCCGACAAGCCTTTTTGCGAAATTCCCGCACACCCCCCAATCTATCGATCTTCGCTATACAGATCCATAATGCCCAGCTGCCGCAGGTCTCCGACTCGGACATGAAGTGGGACCAGCCTTTGCACCAGCTGTTCGCCGATTTGTCCTGGGATGAGACAGACTGGGAGGAGGCGAATTTGCACGAGGTAGTCCTGTACTTACGAGTAGCCAAAAATGTACATGTGCCGAAAGATTTCAAGTCCTTGATCGATAAGTATCGATTCCCCCGGGACCTGCCATTCCTGGAGCCACACGCGGGCTCCATGTTCATGGACCAACTTTAAGCCTAGATCTGCCTAGACGGGATTACGGGCCAAGCTTCGCCCGGTTTTCATAGGTTGTTGGTGCTTCCCAGGGCTTGGCTCTGCGATTTTGGTCCTTTGCCAGGGCTAATGGCAGGTTCTGTGAGGCTCGATATTGGATTTTTTAGAGACGGGACAGGTCCTGAGGTGATTTTTGGGGCCCGCAACGATAGCGGAAAGTGGCGGGACAATGGCGGAAATTGCCGGGACAATTGCGGAAACTGCCGGGCGCCCTCCCAGGAGCAGTTTTGGTGCTTGCAAATGCATACCGCAGCAGGCCTAAATCGCACGTCACTGCAGTTCCTGCTGGCCCGAAGCAATGGAGCAAGGCCGGTCTAGTAGTACAGTAGGGCAGTCCAGGGAAAGCCTGGACAGAGGAGCCCGGATCCTCCTAGATGTTTCAAGACGTGGGGTCGTCAAGACCGAAGAGCCTGATGATGAAGCTGAAATCCAGCGACAGATCGAGGCTAGGCTTGCCTATGCTTGCAAGGTTAGGGTCGATCTAAACTTTAAATTGGCGAACCTCGCAATTGTAAAACGTCAGGCTCTGAGAAAGCAGCAAGCCCTGCTTCGAGAAGCAAAGGCCGGGGAAGGGTTTGCCTATGTAGCACGATGATGCAAGCTTGGATCCTATCCCTGATAAAATCCCTCTAGACCCCTAAATAGCCATAGTGTAAAGTACGCCCATGCAAGTACTCTACAGCTCTTATAAAAGTCGATGATATCGGTTTGATTTATCTATAGGAACCGTGCATAATCAAATAACGACACTCAGCTATCGAGGCTCCGAACTCACAAAATGACGCCGATACGCTCACAAAACGGAGCCGATATACTTATCGAGGACCCCTCGATCTTTCTATATTATACGATGCACATATAATTTTATAACATAAGTATATATATATATATATATATATATATATATATATATATATTATAAAAATATATGTGCATCGTATAATATAGAAAGATCGAGGGGTCCTCGATAAGTAATATGTTGTATATACTAGTATACACACATGGATCTCTATTATCTATCTATTCTAGAGTGGCTGCATTTGATGCATGGATGCGATGGGTATGTTGCATGGACGGATCAACATGTTAGGGTGCTTTAGGCAGGGTTTCCGAAAGCCAATATGAGGTTTTGAAGAAACACACGCAAGCTTGTCCCGGATCCCATAGATTGTGTTATGAGATGTAACCTGGTTTCTAGCTTCGCACTCCCCCCGAAACCTCCAAGCCCTTTAATGTCTTTTATAAGAAACCAAACCCATGAACTCCCACACCCCGAAGTACACTGATTGCAGCCCAGCAGTACCGTCGATCCATCCACAGGCGGCAGCTCAAGAAGAAAGTCGTCTCGCAGAGGCTGCTCAAGGCCTTGGATTCTTATACAAGCCCGCCCACATGTTATCGGCCGATGCATTAACCGTATGTGTGCACGCATGCTACTTGTGAGGATTGGCTGAAGCACCTACGCTGAACTTTGAGGAAATTGCAGAGGCAGAGGCAGAGGCAGCTCGTATAGCAGAGGAACAGGCAAAGGCAGATCGTTTGGCACAGGAAAAGGCGGCACAGGAAAAGGAAGAGGCTGATCGTTTGGCACAGGAAAAGGAAAAGGCTGATCGTTTGGCACAGGAGAAAGTAGAGGCTCGTCGTTTGGCACAGGAAAAGGAAAAGGCTGATCGCTTGGCACAGGCGATTAAGGAAAAGGCTGCTCGTTTGGCACAGGAGGCAGAGGAGAAGGAAATGGCTGCTCATTTGGCACAGGAGAAGGAAAAGGCTGATCGTTTGGCACAGGAGGCACAGGAGAAGGAAAAGGCTAATCGTTTGGCACAGGAGAAGGAAAAAGCTCATCGTTTGGCACGGGAGAAAGAAGAGGCCGATCGTTTGGCACAGGAGAAGGAAGAGGCCGATCGTTTGGCACTCGAGAAGGAAAAAGCTGATCGTTTGGCACAGGAGAAAGAAGAGGCCGATCGTTTGGCACAGGAGAAGGAAAAGGCTGATCGTTTGGCACGGGAGAAAGCAGAGGCCGATCGTTTGGCACAGGAAAAGGAGAAGGCAGATCGTTTTGCAGAGGAAGCCACACAGGCAGGACACTTGGCCGAGGCACTAAAGGCTCAAACAGATGCCTTGGAGACGCAGCTGGATGAGGATTTGCAAAAGCAGATCACAACAAAGCCGGGCTTGTGCAAAGTAGAGACCCCAGCAACAACCCCCTCAGAGGCCAAAGCAACAACCCCCTCAGGGGTGTCATCTCCACGCTCGACTTCGAGCCAAGATGCCCAAGATCCGTGGGGTAGGAGACAGGTTTGCCGCCAGCTTTTCCCTCCCTCTGCCAAGTCCAGTCCGAGCCCAGCCACCCCAACCACGCCCAATTCCAGGCCTGCAGCTGCTCCATCAACCCGCCTTGCCATCCCAAAGCAAATCCCCGGGCTGCCTCCCAAAACCTTTGTGCCGATTAAGGCCGCAGCTGCAAAGCATGCTCCCGCCAGTGTTGCTCCGAGCGCCATGAAAGCCAGGCCCCAAAGCCCTCCACCCACATCAGGAGCAATTACGAAGCGCCTGCTTCGAGCCTTGGAGCCAAATGCAAAAGGAGTTTTTCGAATTTCGAAGACAGTGAGGGACCAGTTTCAAGCTGGTGGCAAAGAGAGAGAGAACGTGTACAAGTTGTTCGCACAGTGTCAGCACAATCCGGACAGCATTCGTATGCACGTTCACTGTTCGAGCTCCCTGCACGGCATGTGCATGCATGTATATGTAGAGTAGACCCCTGAAAGGAGATCTTTATGAACAAGTACAGCGCCACCCACGAAAAGGAGAGCGAGCTACAGGTGTCTGTGGAGTTTGAGTACTTGACCAAGAAGGAGATGGCTGATGATCACAACATGTCGAAGCCACTTAGCTTTGCATGCATACATTGCTTTATGCGGCCTGCAGACTCCTTGTGCCATGCTTAGGGATGATATCGACCAATGTGTGGCAGCAGCAGAAAAGGACCCCAAAAGGTTCATCCGGTGTCTTGATGAAACATATCGAGTGTGCTTCTTTCAGGATGTATATATGCACATGATGCATGGCTGTGTATATGTGTTATCCAAGGAAGCATCCCTACAAAGCCGGAGTGCTGAAGTACTATTGCGAGCTCAAGGTGAAAGGTCATTCCCAGTGCCTTGTCTGCAAGCACCCCCGTTCCTATCGGAATTCCAACTGTGGGGCTACCTAAACCTGTACTCTGTAAGGGTATATACTTAAACTAGAGTCACTAGTGGGATACAGACGTTCGGTTCAATATATATATATATATATATATATATGAGACTATAAGCCCTATTTCGTTCAACCCCCCCCAATCCCAAACTTCCTAACCCTTGCAACTGCCTTCGACCTCCTGCGACTGCCGAGGAAGACAGACCGGGTGAAAACGTCCGAGACAAGGGAGATCGAGGCTGCCGGCGAGGGAACTGAGGAGATGGATGTGGATTTGGGTGAAGCCTTGGAGCTACCCCCAAGTTCCTTGCAAGCAAATTGCGGCTTCATCCACTGATTCATCCACTGCAGTCATCGTAGAGATCAGAGATCCAAGAAGCCTTAGATCCGCAGAATGTAGTAGCTTGGGTAACAATCCTGAGGTCAACAGCCAGCAACGCTTGCTGATGCTGCAGATGGTTTGACACAGACACCGCCACCGAATGAGGAGGTCAGCAAATTGTTGAAGCGCTTGGGCTACCCAGAGGTTCATGACTGCAAGGCCTCTGCTTTGATTGACAAGGCCGTTGGTGCTTGCACTAAACGGTTGAAGAAGCTTGCTGAGCTGCTACCGTCTGACAGCTGCCCCCCACCTGATCCCGCAGCCCAAACCGCGAACATGGACCTCAAAGAGAAGACTTGCCCTCAGCCGTGTGTCGTTCATCTTGCACAAATCATATCTAGATATATCCCGGGGTTTCCCTACACCCTCGCTTGTGCTCAGGATGTACAACAAGATCCGGTCGGTCTACGCAGCCGTGGACTCTTGCTCCGAGGCACTCGAGAAGTACAAGGCTGATGGTTTGGTGGATGGCTTTACTGAGCAGTTGCTGGGCTCAATACTATTCGAGCTAAGCTATGCTGGCTGTCCTGGGTCCTGTTGTTTAATTGGGATTAGATAATATAGTTCTACATCGCAGATCGGCTATACAAAAACTTTCTCGGACCTCAAAGGCATGCCTTCGAAAGTCCGAAATTTTAAGAGGTTTGGTTTCGGTGTTTGTCCGGATACAGACGACCCTTCCTCAGAGTATGTGATCCCAAAAACAAAGCAGAGCTTAAAATATTGCTATATGGCAATCCTTAAAACAAACATCCCCGTAGCCCCTGCCATATCCTTCGCCTCAAAATGAACCCTACATAAACCCTAAAGTAGACCTGGATTTCGATACTATAGTCACATTATAGTCGTCTCCCCTTGCACCTGATCTTTGTAAACCCTATAACACCCCTCAAAACACGCTACCATTGCCTGTCTCCCTAGGATGGAATGCTCAATCGACATTGAGCTGGGAAAATGCCGCAAGCTGCACCCTGGATGCACCCATCGAATTCTGTATGTTTCGATCATCGATGCTGGTATGATGTCTAGATTTGTGTGGAAGATCAGGATAATCGAAGCTGCCGAGCTGGAAACTCGTGCCAGGACCGTAGGGTATGTGCAGTGCTTGAAAGAACACAAAGCCCAAATCACATCACCCTAATCCCACCGAACCCCAAACCCCAATCCTAAACCCTGAACCTTAACACCCCAGAAGCCCCTATATGTAACCCTTTTTTTTCTAAAGGGATCGTTCGAACACTGAAGCATGCAACAGTCTGAATCGCCACGGCAGGACCCTCCTTACAAAAGCGCCGCCGCTCAAGAACGAGCAGATCAGCCCCCGGGGAAAGACCCCAGCAAAGGCAAATCCCAAAAGAGTGAAGGCTTCCGCCAAGGCTCCAGAGCCAGTGGCCAAAAGGCTCAAGAAGTAGCAGATTTTCCTCTGCTGCAGTCGAGTGGCATGTAATTGCCGTTATTTCTAGGCTTTTATAATCTATAGAAATTTAAGGCTAAAGGTAGGGGGATTGGGTTGTGGCTTATATCGTGGTATCCATTGTGTTCCGATCGAATCCCTAGCACAAGTCTGATGAGCCCTCGATGAGCACAACTTTTGCAGGATGGTGCTGCCAAAGGGTTATAGACCCTGACAAGATGCTCCGGATTTGCGAACACCCTCATTCCAATATATGTACCAACCGTGGACTGTTATAATGCTTTGATTAGTTAAGATGTACTTGATTTTCGTATACATGTGAATACGTTGTGGGGCCCTATGTCTACCGGAGAGTAGAGTGCTAGATTTTGGATGCTGGCAATCTGAAGAAAAAAAGTGCTACAGAGATCGATCATTGCTCGGGCAGCTGCAACAAGCTAGAACTATAGGTAATTTCTGACCGCACGCCTGGTGAACCGAAGGCAAGTCGCACCCTCGAAGCTCTAGCTGAACGTGTGGCTGATGGGGCCGTTGTCTTAGATTGGGGGTTATGGCATTGCATGCATGTATCATGTCTGTTGAAGGTTTGGTCGGCCCCAGCAACATGAGCTTCGCATCCCGTGTACACTGGCCCAGCTGCTCTTATCCCGACATAGGTCGTGCTACTTTGATCTTCTCGCAATCCTGCTGTAATCCAAATCGCACCATACCCGGCTCTCTAGTACTATACCCGAGACCACACCCGCCACAAAACTCAGGAAGCCCAAAACCTTAACTCTTGATACAACCCGAATCAGTTCGATCTCCCCAGGCTCCGGCTTGCATCATTGGCGAAGTGGCCAGTGCAGTTGTGAGCGACGGCAGCCGAGTGCCAGGCCTCATCGAAGCCAGTAAAGTGGATAAAAACCACAGTGAAAGAAATGCTCATCGCTTGTTCAACAAGTACGGCCTAGCACTTAGGGTACCGCTTGACTACTTGCATGTACCAGAAAACTCCTGGGGTGAAGAAGCGGTGTCAGTCCCATACATCTCCATGAGCAAGTACATGCAACACCTTTTGGACAACTATGAGCATGTAATGTTCGGAGGGTGTTCAGCAGCTGCATCAAAGGAGATTTATGGGTGCTTTTGGTCAAGATTTCAATCCTACCATCCCCAGCATGTAGTTTTCTCCATGTCTGAGGAAGACAGGTTCCGCACGATCCCGGTTTGTATCCACGGAGATAAGGGGCGCACATTACAAAAAAGCCCGATATACATCCTCGACTTCGAGTTCCCGATTGGACTTCCTCCGGATATGTTGAAGAAATGTTCATTCGATGAAAACCGAAACACCCGGCATGTCGAAGGGAACCTGGCCCAGACATGTAGGTCTCGTGCCACGAAGCGAAAGTTTGATGAAGTAGACTTCTCTGAGTGCACTCGTAGTGACCCTGCCAGATTCCTTGATTCCTCGAATCCCAAGAGCCACCAAAGGCACAACAATCGTGGACACAGTTATCTGAGTCGCTTCTTGGTGTGCGCCATTCCCTCAAAGCTCTACAAGAGAAACTCCGACATCCTCCCAAGCATGCTAAAGCAAGTTGCCGAAGAACTTAGGGTACTGTTCGAGAAGGGTCTGGTGCATAGCAAAAGCGGTGAAAGGTACCGCTTTGGATTTATAGGTGCGAAGGGTGATGCCGATTGGCACTTCGATGCCGGAAGCTTCAATAGATCGTATCATCGGATCGGCCCTGTAAATCCTGCGAAGATTTGCCCTTGGTGTGATGCGGGATCCGAAGGCTTCCCGTATACTGATGTTTCCAGTGCGCCCAAGTGGCTCGAAACGGTGGGTGCTTCGGATCCATGGGACGAAGACCCTCCCCTGTCTGCAATTCCCTTTTCGGAAAGCTTCGGTGCATTTATGTACAAGAATGATCCCTTCCATGTATTGAAGTTCGGAATCTTTAGGGATGCCACTGCCAGCTGTGTGACAAGATTGGCCCAGCTAGGGTTTTGGGACTTCGATTCCGAAAATGAGCTGCAGAACGTCCCGGATCGGCTTTCCAGAGCTTATGGCTGTTACCGCTTGTGGTGTGCTGCAAACAAGAAGCTGCCAGCGCTGAAAGGTTTTACGAGAGCCAACATGCATTACGATACCAATTCGGCCTTCGCCTGGTTCAATACTAAGGGCAGCGAGGTGGTGATATTACTGCAGTGGCTCGACTTTCAGGTGTCACTTTTCCTACGGGATGTCCAGGTTGAGAACCACCGGGCAGAGTTGTCAGCAATGAAGCAGTTGGTTCGTGGTGGCCTCGACTATATTGGCATAATGCACTCCCACGGCATATGGTTGCCTCAAAGTTGTGCCCGTGTCAAACTGGACAGTGGCTTGACTTTCGCCAGGGGCTATGCCTACATGGCTAGTCGTCTGACTGCTGCTGGGGCTTCGGGGTTCCGACTGCGACCCAAGCTTCATTATTTTATGCATATGTTGACAGAGCTGCAGCAACAGTTGGATTCTAGAGAGCCGTTTCTATTGAATGCCGGACTATGGCTATGCGAAAGTAATGAAGATTTCGTGGGCCGGGTTGCAAGAGTGAGCCGTCGTGTTCATCCGCAGACAGCTGCAGTCCGTTGCTTGCAACGCTACTTGGTGAAAGTTCGCTTCTTGTTGGAACGGCTCTCGCGGTGAACCTACAGCCTCCAAGTGTACCCTAAATGGGATGCTCAACACCCTGTTCGAAGATCATAGAAGCTTTGCAAAATCCCTGCATATGTGCTTTAAGCAGTGAGCTGCTCCAAGGCTGAAGTGTGCTTTGAATGAGCTGCTCCAAGGCTGAAGTGTGCTTTGAGCAGTGAGCTGCTCCAGGGCTGAAGTGTGCTTCAAGCGAGCTGCTCCAAGGCTGGACGGGTGCTTTAAGCAGTGAACTGCTCCAGGGCTGAAGTGTGCTTTAAGTGAGCTGCTCCAAGAACGAAGTGTGCTTTAAGCAGTGAGCTGCTCCCAGGCTGAAGTGCTTCAGCAGAGCCTTT